AGACGGTGGTATTTTGAACAGGCGCATAACCATTTCAGTATGTGTGTAGATACATTATTTGATACATGTTTTGACCATGACACATGTACCTTAATGCGTTGTCTAACGGGACCGGAGGGTCCGGCTCGCTGATTTGCTTGACACATGTCATCGTATCGCAATTGGTAGCTCGATGCCCAATTATTTACAGACCGCCACCAAATAGCTGGAATATTGTGTGTGGCGTTAAACGATGAGCAAAGGAAAGCCTTAATGCATTGTTGACCTTTCTTAAAAGCACTAAAATTACTTCTACGTCTACAGTGCAACAGGGTGGTGGGGTAACCTAGTGGTTTAAGCGTCGACTCGTCACGCTGAAGACCCGGGTTCGATTTCCCACATGGGTACAATGTGTGAAGCCCAGTTCTGTTGTTCCCCGCCGTGATTTTGCTGTAATATTGCTAAAAGCGGCGTAAAATAAGCTCACTCACTCACTATAATGCAGTAAAGCTTAAATAAACATCTCGCGTTGTCGCAGTTTCTGCTTCTGTAAGGATATGAACGCGACAATGTCCATTCTAGGAGTCTTACAACAGCCAGTGAGTCGATCCCATACCCCTATTAGTACTGGCCAAGAATCCCCACGAGACGTGTCCATTGCAGATAATCCCCGACAATCGCTACTTTTACTGGCAGGACAAATTGCTCGACAAATCAATAAAATGAGTTATGTCTTTAATCTATTACACTACTTACAACGAGAACACGGGTGGTCTGTGTTGTTGGAGCTACTGCCAAGCCCGTTAACGATCCTGTCCATCTCATTTACACATTTGTCTGTTGGAAGTAAAACTGTTTTTGTGTATGTCATCGAAATACAAATTAGTCATGTTTACCTAATCCTAGAATAATTTGATCTGTATCCATGTCCGAGGGTGTTATTGAACGGATGACTGTGTGATATCAGGGTTGCTTACACACCGCCAACACAACCGGAACTGGCTCTGTAGGAGAACATGCAGATTTAACAAGGAAGCATTATACATGACAACACATAATGAAACACGACATCATGAAGAGATGCAATACCTTTCTGGAGTTAAATGGATTAAAACTAGTTTATAATCTGATTTTGAATCTAAATCTATATACACCCGCATTTGTATAATCTTAGCTTTTAAAATATCGGATTTGGCAGGGGACGATGATAGAATTTATTTAGAATCTCTCTCTTATACAAATCACCTGAATTGACCTTAAATTATAAAGCTCTAACAAGTGAGTGTCGTCTCGTATTCCGTTACATTTGATGTTTATTCTACTTCGTATCTGTAATAAGAAAGAAATCGAAATGAAGTTTTAAAAAACCCATAATATATCACCCCGCCACTCTATGGTTCATTTCACGAAGCATTACAATTGTGACGATTATGTGATATTTTGATTTTGTTGTTGTGGCATATACGCATTCACAGTGGGTGAACAATTCTAATCAGTTATCCTCGCAGGATGTCGTATACACTAATGACATGATAATAAAAGCAAATATAACATTGTCCAGAATGTGTTGTTACAGAAATGTGAATGAGTTGGCGTCTCTCGAACACCTGGTGATCTGATTGTGTTTCATTTTCACCGCTGTGTTACCTTTGACGCAGATTAATTGGGTCATTTCCGCCTTATATTATAGTGAATTGTAAGAATAAACCTTATGGTTCATCTTGTCAAATTTCTCTCAATTCATGGTTTTGCAAAGTATTACAAGAGGCGCCCGTTGTTAAGACATATCTATTATTTTACAAGACAAGAAACCACCCTTCTCTTTGTAGTTAATGTTTAATGTAGCTTGTTTGACGGGTTCGGTCGGTGGGACAGGATACGCTCTGCTTCTTATCAGGTATCATCACAAAGTGATAGTGACAAACACGTGCTCATAATACAGTCAGAACCCTATGTTGGGCTCAGCTCTTACTGGCAAACAAGGATAAGTTGAGCATCGACCTGACAGTTGATCGGTATTAGCATGTATGAGTGCCGCCCACTGGCGCTTGCCATCGTAAGCGAAGGGACCCCAAGTTGTCCGCGATCAAGTGTAGTGCGACTTGCTACACCGACGTGAGAGTCTTATGAGCAAGGCGTGTGCAGCTACGCGTGGAATCAATTTCATCGTCATGCAATGCACGTGTACTAGCCTACATCTGCTCTACCTTTCACAAACCAAATGTGTTTGCTCATTGTCGTGCACCGCCTACTTCTCGTAAACGCGTTCTCTGCGCCGGTCCAACTTATCCTTGCCAGTAGTAGATCGCTCTGATCGTGGACGTAGTTTTGTCGCTTTAATTTCTACATAGTCTCAGAAGTGCCAGATAACTTTGTGCAATGCTATCAGTATGACGTTACATCATCTGTTCAATAATAATCTAGAACGACCGTAGCATAAACATACCGAGACATTGTCATTTCAGACACAAAATATGACTCAGACAAAGATTTATTTGTGAACTTGTGAACCAAGTGAACAGCCAGTAAAACATCACTTTGAGATAGCAAAACGTGTATTCTATTACAAACTTTAAATACGATTTTAATGAAACATGTGTGTCGCTAGAGAGATTCGAACCCACCACAACCACACGAATCGTCATTGTGTGTCAGGGCATGGCAACGGTGAAAAAGACATGTGATTAACAGTAAATACACACATTTCACGGGTGTTTTTTTACCTTGTAACGTTTTGATCACGTTTGAGATTTCAAATCCAGTTTTCATTTTTCTTATCTCATTGATACGCTGTGTTCCGGCTGTTGCTTTTTCCTACCTCTGTTCATTTTGTATCCGCAGTTCAATTCGGAACTGTGATGTCTACGCATCCTTCAGTGGGCTTCTGCAGATCCCTCAAGGCGTTGGAGCGTCGGGGTAGACTGATGGTAAAAGCGTCCGCTCGTCACGCTGAAGATCCAGGCTTGATTCTATGGGTACAATGTGTGAAGTCCATTTCTGGTGTCCCTCGCCGTGATGTTTCTAAAAGCGGCGTAAAACTGGAGCGACGCTTACGTCAAGCCCAGAATCAGCCTTTGGCGTTAGCTGAATTTGGACAAGCGTTGGTTCAGACATGGAACAAAACTTCCCAAGCTTTCTTCAATCGCTAAGTGTCGTCTATGCGTCGTCGTTGCCAAACCTGCATCAACACCAATGGTGGACACACACGATACTGAATTTGTTTACGGACTTTTGACACCACATCTCTTAAAGGGCATGTTATGATGCCTAGTGTCAAATCATACATATTTCGATATTATCCTGTCAACAGTTAAAAAGTGATTTAGGAAAACACAAGAAATCATGTTATTTCTTTTTGCATTACGTCAGTGAGTGAGTGGGTGAGTTGGGTTTTACACCGCTTTTATCATTACTCCAGCAATATCAAGGCAGGGGACACCAGAAATGGCCTTCACACAGTGTACCCATGTGGGGAATCGAACCCGGGTCTTCGGCGTGACGAGCAAACGCTTTATCCACTGGGCTACCCATCGCCCCTTTTGCATTAAGAAATGGCATAACATCAACTAATGCACAGTTACTTTATTCCAGTAGTATATGTATAGCAGTATACACCAGTACATATCTAATGAAATTCACGAAACCATAACCCAACAATTTCCCTCCTACACGTTTCAGCTTTATCTTCAGGGAGATACGTACTCCTTGGAGATACGCGTAGGAGTGAAATTCGTGTCATGTCATTACTTTATATATTACGCCCTTTTTTACTCTGTAATTGTTTTTGGAATGAAGAAACGCCTAAATGAAACATAAGTGGCGGACCACCTGGGACCTGTTTTACATTATTACTTAGTTACTTTATTCCAGTAGTATTCCTGAGATGATTTGGACTAGAATTGTTTTTCAGCAACTCATGCTTGACGGAAGAGGCGATCAACGGAATTGTGTTGTCAGGCCCGCTGACGTGGTTGATGCGTGTCATCGTGCCCTATTGCGTAGATCGTTGTTCATGAAGTTAATCACTAGATTGTCTGGGCCAGACTCGACTATTTACAGGCCACCGACATGAGGCCGGAATATTGCGGTTTTATACAACAAACGAGCAAACAAACAGTAAATATCTGGAAGCATTTAAAGTGATCCATTCATATGAATTTTCCCGGTTCGTTTGCTCCCTACACAAAATGGAATCTATTTCTTAGGATAGTCGTAACTGGGTATTCTCCTGCACCGATGTTTCATCTTTGATTCAACCCGTGAAAATCCGGGTTAGAATTGATCTCCAGCAACCCATGCTTGTCGAGATCCGGTGGTCAGGCATACATATATGTATAGCCGCCATATAGCTTGAATATTGCTGAGTGCGGCGTAAAACTAAACTCACTCACTCACATATATGTTTAATGTAGAAAATGGTCAAATGTTTTGGCCATGGCAAAAATATGCCCCTTAATGCATTTTCCAACGGGATCGGGTGGTTGCCACGTGTTATCGTGTCTTAATAGCATAACTCGATGCTCATGATGTTAATCCCTGGGTTGTCTTGTCCTGATTCGATTATTTTAGACCGCCACCATATAGCTGAAATATTGATAAGTGCAGCGTTAAACAACAGACAATCAAACAACAAATATATTTAAATTCCATAACTCAGGTTCCCTGATGTCGAACCGTTGCAATGGTCAATTGAAGTCATCGGCGCCTTTTGCCATAACCAACAATTAGACTCCTGGTCCACGTACTAACCTTTCTGTATAATAAGCCTGTACCAAGAAGTACACGAATATCAAGGTATATTTTCGCCCATTTCCTTGTCAATCATAATTATCCATCACTAACATCTGAATAAACAATATTTACCAAAATGTCAGTTTATCAAAGACTCTGCTACTCAATGATATCCTCATCCGTCCAGCATGCTTTGCGCCCAACCAGCCCCTGACCACAACGTTAAGTGTAAATTAGATATCTGAGTTTTAACGGCCTATGGTGAGCCAATCGATCGACGGGAGCCGAACAGGATACAGTGACAGGTGGCTATGGTACCACTTTACATTCGTACATCACATCGCGCTGTGCTTCAAGTTGACTAGATCCCCAAACAAGCATAGCAGATTATCATCGGAAACATATCGAGCGAAGGGTATCAACTGCCATCCCACGCTTGTTGTTGGCTATAACTGCGCTGAGGAAATCTCCTCAGCAGTGGCACAAAGGAGGCTGCTAAGTTTGGTCTGCCTGCTGTTATTTCACTAACGCGTTTCTCCTTCGTTCTGGGTTCAAATCCGGACAACCACTCCCGGTATTTATAGAGACGGTATCCAGGCCAGGATATCTCACAAAGACAACTTTTACAGGTATGTTACCTTTATTGCTGTTTTCTTACAGTTGTAACTTTAAAACAAGGGCTGTTGTTTCACGACTATAGCGTTTTTTTACGTTCGTGTACATGTAGCTGTCTCCTACAGCACCTACCGTCTTCATTTTCAGCTACAAGTATATTTTGTAGAAACGAACAAGAAACACAACCGTTACTTGCTTTAAACACTGGATCTGTGTTCCTGTTATCGATAATGTCTATTGCAAAACCCGTTGGCTACCTTGTTACTATATGTTTATGGACATAACATTATAAACGTGTTTTTTCAACAGTGATAAAAACTAAATACAGAGAGTAGTCTTAGAAGAAATGTACGAAATGCTAAAAACAGATTTAACACTAAGTAGTCGTTGAAATATACAAAAATCATTACAACGGGGTATAGGCTGAGAAGGACAGCAATTCATTTTGGTTGAATTAATATCTAGCATTTCGATGTTATTGGGAGAGATTTACATGCTGTTTTTCAAAAAGCTCTCAAAATGTCTGTGACATGTTCCTCAAGCAATGTTTAAACTTTGAGGTTTGCAGACATATTCAGTAGTTTGTTCATTCTTTACACAGAATGCAAACTAATTAGGTTTAGAGAGAGGGTTCAGGTTAAAACGGAACCACAGCAAAACGGCACCTGGCGAAAACGGCACCATTTGGACATAACGGAACCTCGACTTGGCGAAAACGGCTACAAATCGAGAGACATAGCCACCCAGCGTTAGGGAGACACCTAAAGCGATCAATGTATCGTCATAGATATGCGTGCATATATATATATGTGCTGAAAAGCAGATTACACTATATGATATTTGGGCAAGATTTAGCTGAGGGAATGCGTTTTGAGAAACTTTAGACGACATATCGGAGGTCATGGAGATCACAGACAATCGCAATGCCAGTTAACTAAAGTCAGTTTTATGAGTATTTAAAGTACCGCTATAAACCTTCATATTTTGTCGAATCAGCAATAATTATGTAAACATTATGCCTTCAGTCTTATTACTTTCAAATGCCCCTCTGACTAAAATGAATCTGAAGACAAGCTCAATATTTGTAAGTTTATGTGGTTGATTAAGGCCGCGCTGAGCAGTATTCCTGCTGTATTATTGAACTCTGTAAATAATCCAGTCCAGACTAGACCATCCAGTGATCGATATTCTAGTTTACTGTGGTCAACATCTTTTCCGGTATTCCTAAGGAGTAAATGTCTTTAACCTTATATCCTACATCAGGTTGTGTCCACAAACATATTGTTCTACCACTGTTTGACAGTGAGTAAGGATGTGTTATTTTAAGCCTTAGCGCTAATTCCAAGTGTCATCTGTAGCAGTGACGTTGTAATGAAGAAAGTGTACACTTGCTAAAAAAATCCAATAGTTTTCACATTTTTTTTCTATATGTTTTGCGTGTCTAGCAATGACTTCTGTCATTCTTTGGTTGCGAAATGGTACATGATCAATTATGTGTAGACCATGAATGTCCTACATCCTCAAAACCATGATTCACCTTTGATATGTAAAAGGATGTAGTGGAGTTCATACCTGTTGGTCCATGATGCACAAACACCTCGCAGACATGCATTGGAGTGAGTGAGTGAGTGAGCGAGCTAATTTGGTCGCAACACTATACTGGAAGCCCCATCGTCCTCAATAATTAAAATCAATGTATGACAGGTTTTAGTCACATATAACTGAAATATTGCCGATGTGACTATAAATCACACGCACGCACGCAAGCACACACGCAGTGAGGTGTGCTGGTCTTACCACAGTTAGTGTAACCCTCGTGCCCTAGATTAGTCGTGACAGTCCGAGAAACATAACCAAGGCGAACTGAGACGGTGAACCCCATGATCCTGTCTGAGGGAGGCAACTTTGAACAACGCATTGCAAAACCTTAAACAAATTGACAACAGGTTTTTGTCATGAACACAGACAACTTTAATCTTGACCATGACCTTTATTCACACTGGGCACTTCCTCATGTCAGTATAGTGACATCACAATTTGTACGTGTATTCACGAAAGTGTTTCATGCCAAAACATTGTTCTCTTGTGTCAAAGATACAAGTTTGAATGCCCTAGAGGCATGAGATCTTTACTGTGTGGACGAGCGCGTAGCGGATCTGTGACAGATGTGGCTCTCCTGGCCATATGCCTTTTCGTACATCGCTTCACACTTTACAGTACAGAGCTAATGTCAGTGCCCACTTCAGAGCCATTCCCTACATCCGTATGGCACTTTCACCCATTGTTTTAACACGATAATGAGATAGCAGTCAAGACGTCTGAGAACGTCTATTACCAAAATCAATACAACTCTCTCTTAAAAGTGGCATAGGTTGATGAAATTCAATAGATATCTTTTCAAATGAAAGCCTATACAATCATTTTTGGGCGCTCTGACGATTATCTAGAATATGTATTAAGACTATATGAGTGATGCATTACAGAATGTAAAAACACTTCATAATTATATATTTTATAAATATTTACTTCATGCTTAATAACGCAACCGCCCATTAATGAGGTCGCCTTAAGCATTGCTTTTATGTTGTATCAGAACGACATGGGGCACGACATGTGATTAGAACGTCAAAGACATTTCGGTACTTATAAATAGACGGTTTATTCTGCGAACAGATGTTTTGCTTTAAACCTTTATACATGTAACCTTTGACTTAGGGGATTATGGACTATAGTAATCATTTGGTAAGGTAAACAGTCTAAATTGAGTAGTGTGTGACTTGTCATATTTAAATATAAATCATTTCAATATTTCACAACATATTTGGTATGTAGCTATATACTGACTGAAGAAAGAAAGGGGACGACTAAGATCGGTATCATTCCTCGTGACACATTCGGCAAGTTACAGTCAACTCTGACTGAGACATCGTCCGACTATTCTGTATGGGAAAGTTTGGTCGGTTTTATCTAACATAGAATACCTTATGTAACCGGAAACAATGGAAACCTAGTTGTCTGAGGTGCTACTATTCGATATGCAGAGTTGCGTCCCCTAGGCCTGCCAGAAACCTATGAACGTGGGTTCGAATACAGATGTGCTCTGATTATGTTTCTATATTTCTCAGCATCATTCCCTTGCTGATTGTTTTCACCAGAGTGGAGAGACCTGCTTCACTGCGAATTGTCCTCCACATGATTATGACATGCCGTTATTTAGACACAGTGTTAAAAGCGGCGAAGAGCTAAAGTCCCTCAGTCTTAGACTCGTATATTACCAAAGATAAACAGATGATACGATAGAAAGTAGGAAACGAACAGATTATTCAGTAAATTCATCTTAATTTCATTCGGGAAGTGTCTTAAAGTCCTGATTTTTTTCTACATAAATCCCTCCGAGGTCTAGACACCTCTTTGTTGGCATGCCTGGATGGCATCATGCAATGGGTGGAGAAGCTGACATTACGTCGTCATCATTTGCATAATACGGACAAGATAATTCTTTCTTCTAATTTGTGAAGTGACGGAACTCCGACGATGCCAAATCTGGTGCGTACGGAGGATGCTAGGTGAATTCAAAACATTAGCCATGGCAACAACAGACATGAACAGATGCAAGAATTAAGTCCTGGTGGAAGAATTAAGTGAATTATCTACGGGGTCCTCGCTGATTCTATAAGCAGGTGGGCAAGACTCTGGTCACAAAATTCACCAATGGTTACAAAATCACCAAAAACAGTTGGATCTGCTTCAAAACAACTAAACTCGAGAGGTCCTGGAGAATTTCTGATGAAGATTCTGTTTCTGAGACTGTTGACAAATCTCTCATGACATATCTACTGTATGGACTACGGCATCATCATATCATGTATTTTATATACATTGTTGTTAATGATGGCAGATGAAGATCTGCCTGATCTTGGATTATTTTCGAGGGTCTCTCATACCTCTTGAAATCCGCCGCCCACCTCTTAACAGTTGCAACGGTGGGAGAAGCATTCCCTGGTTGACAACATGTTCGCATGGATGGAGATATTTAATGACAGCGCGCTAGCCAATTTTGTCTATTTTCACCAACAGATACTACGTAGCCACTTTGAATGTCTGGAGAAATACGATGCCTGTTTGCGTATCTGGTTGAAATGCAGCATGGAAAGCTACTTGATACATGCAAACTGTTAAGGGTGCACTATATATCTTTCGCACTTCGGCTCAAGATTTTTCAGACACTGGACCTATTTGATAATCTCAAGGAAATACTTATCAGTGTGTAAGTGTTTCCGAAATTGAGAAAAGTGTTCAAACGTAAGGCAGTAGTGAATATCTGTCAAAGTCGATGATCTTAAGTATTCAGGATATTTCATGAATGTTTGTAGAATGCTCTGCTATGTATCGTGTTTGAACCAGTTTCACCAAATCCTTATCAAGTTATGAAATGTTAATTAATGCGCTTAGGATGGTATGTGGGAAATGCGCTGGCAAAGGTATGTGAGAAAAATGTTTACAACAAAAACTCTTATCACCTCGTATTATAGAATAGCACGTACAACCATGTGTACAAGCCCATATTGTATGGTGACCAATTGACTTGTCTTTGCGTGTGTTTGTTGCAAGTGAAACTTGTTTGCGTACGCACAACATTTACCTGGGCCCCAATCCACTGAGCCCTACGACGTTCGTAAATCTACGGTTGAAACACTTTTTGTATAGAGACCAAGATACCCTTTGATATAGGCTTGTGATACCGGAATGGGAATCGAACAATGGACGCATACGCATTACTTATGATTATGGAAATGGTGTTTGTTGCGATCTATTTTTAAACAAGGATAATGGACAGCAATGCTACTCGAATATCGTATTAACATTTATCGTGTTCTTCCCCTTCATCAAATCTGAATTTATTTTCATTACCTCCAACAACAACACGAAACACACATTTCAAATGTGACATATAAATCAAGATCACATGAGAGTAATGTACGTTGTCATCATGTGTTTTTTTTAAATAAAATTA